AAGGCGATCGCAGACGTTACTCGGGGTAGCTCTTCCCGATGCTGACTTCCTCCTTCAGCTTCCTCTCTGGATGACAGCTCAGGCCACACACACACCTCATGTACAAGCAAGGGAAGAGAGGTGACTACCCCTTTCCTACTCCACACACACGTGCGTGCGCACACACACACACACACACTCACACAAAGTAGATTCTTAGAATGCGCTTTCCTTCTATGAATGGAACCAAATCCCTCTCACTTCCTTTCTGAGCGTTGATCTTTTGAGGAAAGCTGTACAGAGTCAGGAGCCACCTCAAATCTAAACCCAGACCCCTACTTGCTGACCTGACTTCCCGGAGCCAGCCCAGGCCCCACCCTGAAGGGGAGTTATGTTTTGATTGTTAAAAAGAAGGCGATCCACTCCACCTTCCCTCACAGCCAATCTGCAGATCGGTTATCATAAAGTCACCAATTTGCAACACATTTTACCTGACCGCAAAACATCTCTTGTCGACGAAAACATTCTGTAGTTACAGAGGGGAGGGGAAGGGAATATTCAAGAATATTTAAGATTTTTCAAAATTCAAGCTTCTTTGAAAATGAATTGCCCTGAAATCTGAGCTGGTGTGTGTGAAATGTGGAGGTGCGGGCACAGGGTAACAGGCCACGTGTCCCCCACGGCCGGCGTCTGAGAGCCCACGGGATGTCTCTACAGAGCCCTAGGTCATAGCATCCCTACACGGCTGCGCTGTGTGCATCTGCTCTGAAGGCTGAGCTGCCTGCTCCGGTCTAGCTGACTGCTAACTAACAGCAGCAAGGTCTGTCTGACTCCCTTGTGTGAGGCCTAGAGTTTATCGCCATCTTGATTGGACCATGAAGTGCCGAGGAGACAGGTAAAGCCCACCTCAGGGTGTGTCTGATAGGGCATATCACGATCGGATGATGCGCGGTACTCTGGCCTAAGGAACGGATTGGCCCCTGGAGGATTTATAATGTGAGGGCATTATTAGGAAGTGGTAGGATGAGGGAGGCGGGCCTAGTTGGAGGAAGTAGGCATAGGCGCGGATCCTTGGGGCCTCTGTTGTGCCCTGGCTCCTTCCTGTACGCCCTCTCCCTCCTCCTGCTACCTGGCCACGGTGCTACACCCGGCCTTGCTCTACCACACCCTCCACACCATGAGCCAGGATGAATAGTCTGCCAAAGTTGTTGGTCACTGCTACATGAAGCTAACTTTACTATATGTGAGATTTCAAAGAAAAGGCAGCCTGCGTGGGCACAAGGCTCCTCCTCCTGAAGTCCTCACACCTGAGCGGCAGGGATCCTGGTAAGGAGCCTGGCAGCAGGTAAAGAAACAGGCCTGCATCTCAAGAAACCAACAGGCTGCATTCATTGCCTTCCATCAAAACTCCAAGTGTAACAGACGCAAAGGGATTAGCCGTAGGAGTTTGGACTTCTCAGTTCAGAGTTTGGAAAAGATTTAGCCTGCTCTCCAAGTTACCCCGGAATAACACACATCCATGAATCCCAGGTCTCAAAACAACAGGGGTTCTTCCTCCCCCCCAGTGCCCTCCCCTCCCCCAGTGGAAAGAAAACTATGGCAGAATGCCGTACCAGGCCGCAGATGGCTGAGCTGAAGCAATACAGGGCCTCTGACCCAGCTAGTTCTTTATGTGATCGTTTGTTTTATGTAGAGAAGTAGTAGCTTCTACCTGCCCGTAAAATTACGACAGAGGCCTGATCCTCAGCCATCTTCTGTTCCTACTGCTAGTCCAAAAGAAACATTAACTGAGTTCTTGCTCTGGACAAGGCTCAATCCAAAGCTAGAGCTTCAAAAATATTGCCTCAGCCTGGCACCGTGGCTCACGCCACTCCCAACTACTCAGGAGGCCGAGACCTGAGCATTGCAGTTCAAAGCCAGCAAGGGCAGGAAGTCCAAGAGACTTTTACCTCCAATTAACCACCAAAAATCCAGAAGTGATGCAGTGGCTCAAGTGGTAGAGCGTTCGCCTTGAGCTGAAGAGCTGAGGGACAGAGCCCAAGTCCAGAGTTCAAGCCCCATGACCATCCAAACCATTCCTAGGAGGTGGGAAATGCATGACAAGACTGCTACACAGTATTGACTGCTGCTCATCAGTCCGGCTGTTGTCAGGCCTTGCCCTAGAGAGAACCGGAGGCTTGGAGCCTGCCCAAGACCCCAGAGAGGGCACACGCTGGAGCTTACGATTCAGGCTCCATTCTCTCCCGTGTAAGCCAGCCAAGTTCTTAACTGCTTTGGTATACACCAGTAGACCAAAAAATAGAAAATCACATTAAAGGGAACTATTAAGCCCATGTAGAGACCAGAAACAAACTCCCGCCTGAGCATTTTAAAGCAATGGACTCAAAGTATACAGCATGATGCTTCTGTGTGTGTGTGTGTGTGTGTGTGTGTGTGTGTGTGAGAAAGAGAGAGAGAAAGAGAGAGGTTAGTACAGTCAAGCAAATTAGCATAGCCATCAACTGAGTTACCATGGCTGCAGGTATTTACAGAAACAAACAAACAAAAAAAAGAGTATTTAAACCTAAAAGTCCAGTGTCCCTGGAAGAGCTCATCCACCCCTAACCCTAAGACACTGCACATCAAGCTGCTTGAGGCCCGGATCAGAAAGACACGCATCAGTCCGTTCGGGAGAGCCTTGCCCAGGCCCCCTAGGGCTGCATGTGCTCTGAGAGGACATCGGCCTTTCCTTCTCATCATGGCTCATCACACCTTTGGGGAATAAAGAAAAACTACATTTTAATTCAGCAAGGACTATGGCCGATGGGCATCGTCACATAAAAGAACAAAACACATAATTAATGAAACCAAGGCAATATGCCTTTTCCAGCCCAGCTCATTAGTATTAATTAATTAATTCTCTTTTGTGTTTAATGCTATCTTTAGAAGTATATTTTTAAAAAGGAGGAAGGGAGAGATACAGGAAAGAAATAAAGATGGTAAGTAGATATAGGTTCTGGATCATTCTCCAGTCAAAGTAAATTCATAATAAATAGAGCTGGCTCTCAGCACGATCACAAAAGTCTGTCATTTGTCCATAAGCCTCAAGAATACATACATCTGGTATCATAAATAACAGCATGAACTTCGTCTCTGGTGCCACTCTCCAGCTGCCACAGGAAGTGTACAGCCCTCCCTGCTGCTAGTAAAGACATGTATATAAGGAATGAAACTCAACTTTTTTTTTTCCTAGTGCCAGTCCTGTCTTGAAAGGGCCTTGGTGCTGTCCCTGAGATTTTTTGCTCAAGACTAACACTCTACCACTTGAACCACAGCTCCACTTCTGGCTTTTGGGGTCTGGGGAGCGTGGGGGGTATTAAATGGGGGTAAGAGTCTCACAGACTTCCCTGCCTGAACTGGCTTTCAACCATGATCCTCCAATCTCAACCACCTGAGTACTTAGGACTATAGGGGTAAGTCACCAGCACCCAACAAAACTCAACTCTTTCCAAAGTAGAAATGGGAGCAAGACAAGAGCCTTTGAGAATCCAGAAGGCTCGGATATTCAGAAGTATGACCTTCAAATGTAACTGAGTATCATAACAGAAATCAAGATACTGCCTGAAGCGGGAATATCAAAGGCAAATGGCAACAGTGGCAAAGTATCTGCATTACTCAGACCTAGAAACCCTAAGAGTGAGAAGCCACAGAAACGTTACACACATCCCTCTCCACCCCTCTGATCTCCTCTGACGCCTGTTTACTGCCTTCCTTCCATAGCTTTTCCTACAAAACCATCCCTCCATTGAACATGTACCCGAGAGACAGAATCAATGCAGAGACTTAGTAACCCAAGAATCTGAGCTAGGAAACCTGCTCCAAACAGGTGGACTGTGGAGCACCTACAGGCATCCCAGCCTCAAGAAGCACTCAGTCCTGTGGTTAAAGACTTGGCAAGGAAATCTCTCCTCCGAGATGAGGTTTACGTCTGTCGTTTTCCAGGCTACTTGGTGACTGTCAGCACATCCACACCCCCAAGAGCCACTCACTGCACACACACTCACACACACACTCACACTCAAACTCATACTCCACAAAGGCAGGGCAAGAACCCATGCCAATGCCCCATTTTATTCCTCCTATACCACCAAACTAACCAATTTGACAGAAAACTTCTCGTGGCTAACACAGCAGGAACAATCAACTTGTAGAATACAGAATGACAAAAATGGCTAATCTGAAAAAAAATGGATCCCATCTGTAAGAGGCAGGTGTCAAAATTGTATTAGTTCATCCTCTTAAAACACTTTATTCTTTTGGCTATGCTCATACTTTAACAAAACTCGGTGTGTGTGTTGTGTACATGCAGTGTGAAATGTAGTGTTTTAGTGTAGAAGTTTATAGACACACATAAGTAAGTTTTATTTGACAAAAGAAAAAAAAATAAGGCCATGTGATAACTATTCTCCCTTACCAACCCCTGAGGTCAACAAAGCTTTTTATGGTCAGTTCGCAGATAAGCAAACAAGTGTGCAAAGGGGTGATTTTTGCCATTGGGCCACATGATGGAAGAGTTGAAATTGAAATTCTCAGCCTCCTCCAACTTCCTGGACCCTAGAGCTATGTGGTCAGTTTTGCAATAAGGAAGCCTATTTATACGACTTTCCATGCAACTAAGAAGTCCAAACCACAACAGGATAAAAGCAGGAAGACATGGCTTTCTTGGCAGGGAATTTCAAAGGCTGCCACGTTAAGCGATTTCAGGGCATTTTGCTCTATTGCGGGGCTACAAAGGACTGGGGACGCCGTCTGCTCTTTGAGAACACTGGGAACTTTCTTGTTTGCAAAAAAAAAAATTTTTTTTTTTAAATAATCAAGCTCTGTGCTTTTAAGAGCCACCCACGTGGCCTCTGACCATATCTTCCTTTTCCTGGTGAAATCTCCTCCGTATGGTCTGGCTATGGTCCTCAACCAAACGCTGGGGCTTTCCCAACGCGGCCCCCTCCCTCCCACTCCCTGAAAGGGGTCCAAACCCCACCGACCTCTGATGTGCAGGGAGTTGAGGAGGCTGGTGTTGGTGTCTAGCAGAAGCCACTGGCCCTTCTCCACCGTGACATTGGCACCATCTTGTGGCATCCCTGCAGAACGCCAGCTGCAGGCCCTGGACCACCTCCGGCAGGACTGAAGGGCAAAGCCACCCTGGAAAACAGAGAGGACCTGGGTTTGTCTGGATCCAGCCCACCAAGACAGAAAGCACAGCCTAGCTAAATAGTTCAAATGTCTCCACGACACCAGCCACCGCTCTTCCTCAAACAGAAGGAAAAAATATACAAGAGACCAAGTTCCGACTGAAGCGCATTCTGAGCTCGGAGCTCCTTCTCCCGTTTCCAGCATCCGCTCCCCGATTCCTAACAAGTGGAGCTGATTCCTTGTTTGTTTTTTAATTTTTACAGACATGTATCGAATCTTGGACCCCAAAAAGAGTCATAAAGAGTCTGGGACCGGGAGAATTGAGACGTCCTGCTGGCTGGCCGGCGTTGGCTTGATGGAATTGGCACCGTTTTTCACAGGCTCTCCTGCCCGCTGTCCCGGCTGCACAGAACCGTTCATCCTTCCCAGGATCCCGTGTCCGCCCACCTGGCCCACTCTCGCTGTGCGTGCTGGCTTTCCTCTGTGCGCACTGCGTAGAGAAGGCCAAGGCCTCTTCAGATGACAAGGAGAGAGCCGAGAGCCTGAGCGAGGGAGGGAGGGAGAGGGAGGAAGGGCAGAGCAGGACTGAGGGGAAGAGACCAGAGGAAAACAGTACCTGGCTGCTCCCGCCCTCTGTTCTTCTCTCAAAACTAGTGACTTGCCTGATCATTTGTGGTTACTCTACAATACGTTATTGTTGGGGGGCGGGGGGAGAGGGAAGAAGGGAGGGAGGGAGGAAGAAAGGAAGGAAGAAAAGAAGGGAAGGAGGGAGGAAGGAAGGAAGGAAGGAAGGAAGGAAGGAAGGAAGGAAGGAAGGAAGGAAGGAGAGAGAAAGAAGAAGCCGCCGCTGCCAGGTGCTGGTGGCTCACGCCTGTCATCCTAGCTACTCAGGAGGCTGAGATCTGAGGACCACAGTTCAAAGCCAGCCCAAGAAGAAAAGTCCGTGAGACTCTTATCTCCAATAATCTACTCAAAGGAGCCAGAAGTGGCACTGTGGCTCAAGTGGTAGAGCGCTCGCCTTGAGCAAAAAGAAGTTTAGGGACAGCACCCGAGCCCAGATTTAAGCCCCAGGACCTGCCAAAAAAAGAAAGTAGGGGAGTCTTAAAAATGGCTCCACTCAAACATGTTCACTAAGACACAGAGGACGCAGGGGAAGGTTCCGGGGGTTTCAGGGCTCTGAATGACTAACTAGCAGTTCAACAGGAATTGGAAGCTGGAACTGGTCCTGTGGGCGTGGAGAAGGAGCAGGTGGGTGGAGGAAGGAGGGTGTGTGGATAGGTCACGTCCTTCAATGTGCGTGCCACGGCTACATGGAACCTGAGAAGAGGGGGGCTGGGGAGGAGAGGGCTGGGGAGGAGGGGGGGCTGGGGAGGTGGGGGGTTGGGGAGGAGGGGGGGCTGGGGAGGAGGGGGGCTGGGGAGGAGGGGGGCTGGGGAGGAGGGGGGCTGGGGAGGAGGGGGGCTGGGGAGGTGGGGGGGCTGGGGAGGAGGGGAGGCTGGGGAGGAGGGGGGCTGGGGAGGAGAGGGCCTGGGGAGGAGGGGAGTCTGGGGAGGAGGGGGTCTGGGGAGGAGGGGGTCTGGGGAGGAGGGGGGGCTGGGGAGGTGGGGGGCTGGGGAGGAGGGGGGCTGGGGAGGTGGGGGGCTGGGGAGGTGGGGGGGCTGGGGAGGAAGGGAGGCTGGGGAGGAGGGGGGCTGGGGAGGAGAGGGCCTGGGGAGGAGGGGGCTGGGGAGGAGGGGCCTGGGGAGGAGGGGGTCTGCGGAGGAGGGGAGTCTGGGGAGGAGGGGAGTCTGGGGAGGAGGGGGGCTGGGGAGGAGGGGGGTCTGGGGAGGAGGGGAGTCTGGGGAGGAGGGGAGTCTGGGGAGGAGGGGGGCTGGGGAGGAGGGGGTCTGGGGAGGAGGGGGTCTGGGGAGGAGGGGGGCTGGGGAGGAGGGGGGTCTGGGGAGGAGGGGGGCTGGGGAGGAGGGGGCAAAGGATGGGCAGGGGACACCAATCAAGATGCATGGTGCGCGCAGGCTGGCGCGTTGAACTGAAAGTCCTGTGCGTGACTGGGAAGGGATGACTCTGTGAAGTGCTCACTCCTGCAGGAGGTGGAGCTCCTGTGTACAGATGGAGCTGTGAAGCCAGTGGCCATGGGATGGACGGGCACAGAGCCGGCAGCAGAGCCCAGGCAGCCACCGCACACTGCACCAGGCGGCCCCTCCTCCATGCAGCCTTGTCTGATCCCAGCTCCCATGCAGCCACCACCCTGCGTGCTGCAAAACCAAAGCCAGCCAGGTCTTCCGGCGGTGTCAGAGGCCGAGGAAGGGAGGTGTGCGTGAGGCCAGCGAGCCCCTGCGAAGGGTGCCGCGCCCTGGAGAATGTTTCAGAGCCAGCCAGCGTATTCTGCAGAGGAGGGAAAAGCCACTCTCGTGCTGAGGGACAACCCAACCCACTCAGCAGCGCGGCCTGGGGACAGCAGACCACCCAGCCTTTCCCTCTTCTGCAAGGAGGAATCAAAACCCCTGGCCTACCCCAGTGCTGGAAGGCGGAAGACATGGCCTTGGCGGTCCCGCACAACAGAGAAAGGAGCGTGACACAGGAGCCCCGTCCACGGGAGCGACCCCCATTGATGGCCAGTACAGACCAGAAAAGAGGGGGCACCACGGGCTCACACCCAGGCCTACCTGCCCAAGAGGAACCCGGGTCTGTGGTTCAAGGCCAAACCAGGGGAAAAAAGTTGATGAGACCCCATTTTAGCCAATAAAGAGCTGCGCATGGTGCTGCATGCCTGCCATTCTAGTCAGTCAAGAAGAATGGATGAGAAAGAAGAGCTGGGGGGGGGGGGGCGCCAGGCCAGGGTCAGTCATAGACAAGAACTGCACAAAATAACAAAAGCACAAACAGCCAGAGGCATGACTCAAGTAGTAGAGTCAGGCACGAGGTCCTGTGTTCAAACCAGTAATAGGAGAAGGGAGGGGAAGATGGGAAGAGGGAGGGGAGGGAAGGAGAGGAAGGGGAGGAAGAGGAGGAAGAAGGAAGGAAGGAGGAAGGAAGGAAGGAAGGAAGGAAGGAAGGAAGGGAGGAAGGAAGGGAGGAAGGAAGGGAGGAAGGAAGGGAGGAAGGAAGGGAGGGAGGAAGGGAGGGAGGGAGGGAGGGAATTAGGAGGAGCTCTAACTCTCCAGTTGTTTTTACTATACAGCTAGCTGCACAGAAATAAAATAACAAAGAGTACTTTTAAGGACATGCATGTGAATTCTGGCAATGCTGTAATTTAGCCCCATGAACACAGATGGGGGTGGGGAGGGATGGAAGGCGGAGATGGAGGAGATGGAGGAGCAGTGAAGTCGGTTGGAAAGCCGGAAAGCCGGGCAAGCCAAGCTGTCAGTGTCACTACCTCAATGTCCCCCACAAAATGACGTTTGATAAAGCGATGGGACCCAGTGGTAGGACCCAGGTGTGTGACTGTAGGTTTATTTTATTCTCAGCTGCTTTGCAGCATGGGAGTCAAGTGAAGCAGAGGTCCAGAACAGATGGAGACACATCCCTCTCTTCCTCAAAAAAGAACCAAGAAACCAACACGCAAGTTCAGAAATGCACTCCTTGTCTGACTTCCGTACCCGTGACCCCTCTGTACCTCACCTTTACAATAACAATAGATGAAATGTTCTTTAAGAATCCACAAGCACAGCCCTTTGTGAGACATGAACTTGGTGATCAAATCCACAGACAGCCACAGAACTACAAAGAAACTAAGGCCCAGTGAGAGGACCTGGAACAACAAGGCAGCATGTGTATCGAGGTAGTCCAGGACATCAGAGGAAAGCCAGGCTGTGGGGCCTCCCGGTCCTGGGAGGCCATTTTCAATCATTACACTGAGCGCTAAGAGCTGCTATCTAGCTCCAAGTGAGCTTCGAAGCTTTTTCTCTTACTTTGAAGCTCCTGTATCTGTCATTAGCTGCCTTCCATGCATTATAACATTTTGGCTAGCTCAGTCTGCCTTCAAAAATTGCTATACACAAGCCAGGTGCTGGATGCTCATGCTTGTAATCCTAGCTACACAGGAGGCTGAGATCGGAAGATCGCAGTTCAAAGCCAAGCAGGAGAGTCCAGGAGACTCTTAGCGCCAATAAATCACTCTGAAAATGCTAGACGTGTCATTGTGGCCCACAGGATACAGTGCTAGCCTTGAGCAAAAGCAGCTCAGGGACAGTGCCCAGGCTCACACACACACACACACACACACACACACACACACACACACACACACACACACACACACACACACACACACACACACACACACACACACACACACACACACACACACACACACACACACACCTTCCTTAATGTAATAGGCAAACAACTGCACACTAAGACCAAAAGTCTGTTAAAATGCTGTGTTCCACAGGCTTCCCGAGGCTTGAGGGCGCATCTGCCCAGCTCCACGTTTCTTTTCCTCCTCAAGCTCTATTCAAACACCAACCAAATGAGGCAGAGTTCTACTGCGTCAGAACTGGAGACACACATTCTGTCTCCCTGTGAAAACATGCACTCGTCATTTTTTCCCCTTTAAGTTTCTTTTCCTATTTGATGTGACATAGTTCAAATGAATACAAATGTGCATTCCTGAGTTTCAAAAGACCTAAGCAACTTTGCGCCCAAATTTCTCCTTCTCACAGAAAGACGCCTATAAATGTAGACATTTTATTGATGGTTCACATTTTTGTATAAAACAATGGGTAATCAGAGGCCAATAAAATTAATGTAGCCTCAACTATTTAGTAGTTACCCGGGTAAGAGGAAGAGTGATTTATCACCCCGATTCCAGGAAGTTCAGTGAAATCTCCTGCAGCATGCCTGTGCTAGACTTCCAGCTCCCGGCATCTACCCCCTTGTGACTGGGGGTGCCACTGCCCACAAAGCACAGGAGTGCTGACAGGACTGCTCAGAGTCTGTGAGCACATCTGAGAAGCTCTAGGTTGATACCGAGGTGAGATCTGGCAGGCATGAGGGCTGTTATCGCAGCC